CCCCCCCCCCCCCCCCCCCCCCCCCCGCGCACCCACCAGAGCCTCCCAGTTCTCTTTCTGGGAGAAGATGGCTGCTGGGCGTGGGCGTGCGGGCAGGACATGCAAAGCCACAACCATCCCTTGAGGACAGATCATGCTATGGTGGCTCTGAAGTGGGGCAGCTCCCACCCTGGCCAGCACTGGGTGCTGCCCTGTGGCTCTGGCTTACCTCTCTGTGTAGTGTGGCAGCTCCTTTGGGTGCCGAGCACCGGCTTGGGCGCTGCTGCTGTGGCTGCGGTGATTGTGGCCCCTCTCCCAGCTGCCCCCTCCTGCCACCTGGCTTCCTTTCCCAGCAGCCAGCTGGGGTCCCAACAGCCTGGGCTGGTGCCCCCCCCTCCGAGGCTGTGGTCTGGTGCCTGGGGTGGGGGTGGAGGGGAGAGGTAGGGTTTCAGCCCTCCCCCGGCAGCTGGCCGGCAGGGAGAGGGGCTGGTTGTATTTTAAGCTGTTGAGTGGTTCAGCAGGAACTCCGAGACCTCCTGTCCTGGTGGACACTGTGCCGCTCTCCTGTGGGCCATACCGGCTTGAAGGCATGTGGGCACTGCCCGCCAGGGGCCCAGGAACTATTAATATACCTGCAGCCACGGGGCCGGCGCTGTGCCCGTCTGCGCCCTGCCATTCCAGCCCTTGCCAGTGCCGTCCTCTCCTCGTGTCTCTGGTGGGCCCCGAGGGGTATGACCAGCTCCCTTTTTTAGGCCTCTCCATATGCCAGCTGCTCTCTCTGGCCATTTTGGTCCCTGTGGGGGTTCAGTAACCTGCCCCGCAAGGCCACAGGACTAAGCAGAGCCCAGAGATGATAGGAGGTGATGTCTCTGATGCGGTTCAACTAGGCAGCACTGGCCAGGACTTCCTGGGCTCTGTCCCCTCCTCCCCTCAGGTCCAGGCCGTGGGGTAGGCATGTCGGGGACGGGCAGGCTGGCCCATGTGCTGCTTGGAGCTGCTGGTCAGCCGGAAGCCAGGATATGAACGCAGGCTGCTGCCCTTTGCCACCATGCTGCCTTACTGGGCAGGGCTGCCTCCTGGGGGACCTCTCATTCCCGTCCCCAGAACCCACAGTCATGGCGCTTCCCGCCTGTCAGACATGCCGGTGCTTCCTGTGCCCTGGCCCAGGAGACCCTGCCTGCCCCTGAGCTGAGGCACAGGGATGTGCCATGCCCAGGGCACTTGGGCTGCAGGGCAGGGCTGGGTACAGCTCACAGTGCGCCCTGTCCCTGCCACTGTGGTCAGGAGTGTGTGAGGTGAGCCCCTTCCTCAGGTGGGCTCTGGGTGGGTGGATGCCCCCTCAGAGGCCCTGATGGGCCTGCTCTGGGCCTCTGGTCTTGCAGCAGTGTCTAGTCCCTTTTTCTCAGGCAGCAAGTAACTGGGGGCCTTGGAGCTCTGAGTGGGGAGGGTCCACAGCAGGGGCCAGCAGGGGCCAGCTCAGGGTGACCTCCAGCCCTGCTCATCGTGACTTGTCCAGTGGGACCTGCGCCCACCCCCTGGGGCATTCAGGTCTTTCCTGACCAGTCTGGGCACTGCCCAACCCCGCTCCAGCAGCCTTCTCTGACCTGCTGGTCCCTGGTGCTCCCTCCTGCCCAGGGCAGCCCCTCTGCACCAGGCTGTGTGTGAGCTTCCGGCCTGGATGAGGGTGTACTGGCTGAACCATGGGAAGACTACCCACTGGTGGCCTTGAGCAAGGCTTGGGGGGAACTGGTGAGAAATGGGTGGAGAGGGAGGCTCGAGAGGCAGGGGGTCGGGACCTTGTAACTTGCCTGCAACTTCCTGTTCCGGGTCGTTTCCACTTAGAGGCTTTCTGCACCAATAACTGTGGAATCTGTCACCTTCCTGGGAACACAAATGCACAAGGAAAATAATCCGAGTGTCTTTTACAGCTCAGAAGGGGAAATGGATGATCTATCTCACGGATTCTCAAAATAGCTGGGGTTTCTCCAAGCGCAATGAACTGCTTCTGCCTGAGTTGGGTGCTGGGGCCTGGGCTGGCTTCTCACCCTCTTCTGGCCACTGGCCGGAGGCCCCTACTCTGCTCAGGTCAGGGAGGGGCTGACGGGCGTCTGCCTCTAGGGATTGCCTTGGCTGCCCTGGTGCTGTTGGGGGACTGTGTCCACTCCAAAGCCTCCTTCAGGACAACCTGGTTCCTAGGGGCTGCCCTCAGGACCCCCTTGCCCCCGCCGCAAGGGGACTGTGGCATGACTCCTTGGTGGGCTCAGTCTGGGACAGTTTTATATTTAGCTGTGCTGTGGCTCTGGTGCCACTCGGGTTACATCTGGCACACAAGCCGGCAGAGCCAGGGCAGGCGCGGGCTCTCTTCCAGCATCGCAGCAGAATTCGATCGCGCCAGCCCGGCCCAGAGTTGCTCCCCGTGGGGAGGTCCGTGGTGGGGGCTGACGGCCGGCAGCTGGGGTGGCAGCCTGGGTGGGCAGAGCGGAGCAGCGGGGCTGGTGGCGGGCAGTATGGATATCAGCTTGAGCCTGGTGGCCCGGGAGGCCAGCCAGGGGCTGAGCCCTGGCCTCAACGGCTTCCCCCGGCCTGCACCTCCCAAGACAACCAAGAAACCTAAAAAGGCTGTTCTCTTTTTTGAGGTGGAGATTCTAGATGCAAAGACGAGGGAGAAGCTGTGTTTCCTGGACAAGGTAGGACCGCAGTGCCCGTGACACGGCCACAGGCCCCAGCTCCTTCCAGCCCTTTCCCCCACCCCACCCCTTCCCTTCAGAGGGCACAGGAGGAATGCTGTGATGTGTGGGACCGAGTGGGCAGTTGTGGCCCCTGGGTGTGCCTGGGAGCTGGCCTCCTGGCTGGGGGAGGAAGCAAGGCAACCTCAGTGGAGCCCGTGGTCTACACTGAGACCTGTTCCCCTGAGGCCAGTCCCCGGGCAGGGGTTTGGACCCCACCATTCCTGGGCAGAGAGGGGCAGCAGGGGAGCAGGCCCCACTTGCCTTGTCGGCCTTGCTGGGCTGGGGGCCATCCTGGCTTCCTGGTGGCACTGGAGACCCCTGCTGAGTCCACACTGGCAGGGCCTTTGCTGTTCCTGCCTTGACCAGTAGGTGGGGGCCTGGACCCCATTCCTCTCCTGTGCCTGTAGCTGTGGCTCAGTCCTTTCTCCTGACCCCTCTCCATCCTGGGTCTGGGCTCCCCCCTGGGGCTGATGCCTCCTTGCTGGTCTTTCCCCAGGTGGAGCCCCAGGCCACCATTGCAGAGATTAAGAACCTCTTCACCAAGACTCGTGAGTCCAAGGAGTGCCACAATGAGCATGGCCACTCCTTTGGGCAGGGTCCTCTGGGTGGGACCATGTCCTGTGTGTTTCTCCCTCAAGGACCTGTAGAAATGCCTCCGTGTGGCCCAGGCCTCTCTGGGTTTGACTGCAGCAGCGCCCCCGCGTGGCCATTGGGAGGAGTGCCCTTGTTGGCTTTTGGAAGGACAAAATCCTGCTCTGGCAGTGCTATCCTGGCCTGTGTCCTGGAACAACACAGGCTCAGAGGCCTTGCCTGGGAGTTGGGGGGTCCCTGAGCCCCGGCAACACCGAGAAGCTGGCACAGTGGGTGGGCAGCTTATAGGCTAGGTCCTGCCAGGCTGAGGGTTGTGATACTATTCTCCCCACAGATCCACAGTGGTACCCCGCCCGCCAGTCCCTCCGCCTGGACCCCAGTGAGTACAGCTGTCCGCTGGGCTCACCCCCTGGCTTCCGGGTGGCAGTGGGAGAAGCTGGGGCAGCCCCTGAGTCCTGGCCCACCTCTCTGCAGAGGGCAAGTCCCTGAAGGACGAGGATGTGCTACAGAAGTTGCCTGTGGGTACCACAGCCACGCTCTACTTCCGGGACCTGGGGGCCCAGATCAGCTGGGTGACGGTGAGTCCTGACCCCTCCATCAGCCGCCTTTGCCACCAGCCACATCGGGAGACTCACTTTGCTCCCTGGGCCCTCAGGTCTTCCTGACCGAGTATGCTGGGCCCCTTTTCATCTACCTGCTCTTCTACTTCCGGGTGCCCTTCATCTATGGCCACAAATATGACTTCACGTCCAGTCGGCACACAGTGGTGCAGTGAGTGGGGTCAGGTGGGTGGGAGGGGGGAGGACAAAGGACAGGAGGCCTGTCGGACCAGCCCCTGCTTCCCCACCAGCCTCGCCTGCACCTGCCACTCTCTGCACTATGTCAAGCGCCTGCTGGAGACGCTGTTCGTGCACCGCTTCTCCCACGGCACCATGCCCCTGCGCAATATCTTCAAGGTGGGTGCCCGCCACTCATCCTCCTGGCCCTGAGTCCGCCCGGGAGACCCGCCTGGCCCTGCGTCCCCGGTCACTCACCCCTCGGCCCATCCCTGCCCGCTTCCTTTCAGAACTGCACCTACTACTGGGGCTTCGCAGCGTGGATGGCCTATTACATCAACCACCCTCTCTACACGCCCCCCAGTAAGTGGCTTCAGCCTGAGCCCCACCCTCGAGCGAGCCCTTGGGGCACTAGCCCTAGTGCCCTCCCCTCACGGTCTCCCCTCCCTGCTTCCTCCTTAGCCTATGGAGCTCAGCAGGTTAAACTGGCGCTGGCCATCTTTGTGGTAAGGAGTCTGGACAGTGCTGGGGGGTGGGGGGCCTGGGGGCTCTGGGCTGACCCTGCTCCTCCTCGGACAGATCTGCCAGCTTGGTAACTTCTCCATCCATATGGCTCTGCGGGACCTGCGGCCAGCTGGTGAGTGGTCTACTGGGGTTTGGGAGTAGTTGGGCCAGGTGGGAGAGTCTCACCTGTTCCTCCTGTCCTGTCCCCCAGGGTCCAAGACCAGGAAGATCCCGTACCCTACCAAGAACCCCTTCACGTGGCTCTTCTTGCTGGTGTCCTGTCCCAACTATACCTACGAGGTGAGGGCCGACCTTTTCTCCCCACTCCTTCCTGGGTTTAGGGTCCCTTGTGGAGGGGCAGCCTGGTGGGGAAGGTGCTTTCAAGCTTGAGGTCTGGAGATGGAGACTGCTGTTCCTGTTCTGGGGCTGGGAGGCGTGTGGCCTGGCCTGTCGTATAGCACCTCCTTTACCTGGGGTCCCTCCACATTGGAGCTTGTTCCTTACTGTCTCTGAAGAGGGTTGAGGGGAGGTGGCAGAACAGCCTATGTGGCCCGCCTGCTTGCCCTCACCTCCACCTGTGCTGCCCACAGGTGGGGTCCTGGATTGGCTTTGCCATCATGACACAGTGTCTCCCAGGTGAGCCCGTCACCCCTCCCTTGGTGGTGTCCTGCCATCCTGCTGGGCAGCCCCATCTTGACACCCCCTGCTCTGTCCCACAGTGGCCCTCTTTTCCTTGGTGGGCTTTACTCAGATGACCATCTGGGCCAAGGGCAAGCACCGCAGCTACCTAAAGGAGTTCCGCGACTACCCACCCCTGCGCATGCCCATCATCCCCTTCTTGCTCTGAGCCACTTCCCCTTCACCCGGGCTCAGTCAGGCCGGGCTCTCATCCCCACCCCAGTATCATTCTGGGGTGGCTGCAGCTCTGCATCTGGAATAAAACCTGTCTGCCCCAGCTGGACTTGGACTGTTCCTTTATGGGGCTTGGGGACACCAGACACACTGCAAGGCGTGCGTGGCTCAGGGGCCTGGAGGCTTTTATTTCTTGGACTGGTCCAGAGGATGGTGGGTGACCTACAGAGCCGGGTCCACTGCAGATTCCTGGGCTTTGGCCAAACGGGCCTCCCTCTGTTCCCGCCGCTTCTTCCGCTGGAGCAGCCGCCGTTCCCGTTCAAACTCCTTCATGCGCTTCACGTAGCTGAGGGGAGAGCGGAAGGGTCTCAGCTCTGGGTGGGACTCCCCTGTCCACTGCCCCTGGTTCTGATCTCAGGAGGGAGCCCATTCCTCTGTTTGACTGGTGCTGGCCGGTGATACCCCAGGTGCTTCTAGCCACCTGCCCAACCTGGAGCCCCCCCCCCAGTCCCCCCTGCTGGCCTGGGCCAGCTGAGGCGTGGGCTAGTGGGGCCTCGTGCGTGGGGTCGGGGGCTCACTCGAGGTGCTCGCAGTAGTCCCAGTCGTGCTGCTCGTGCTTGCAGCCCAGGAAGTTGGGGAAGCTGTCACGCTTGCACTTGAGCAGCTTGATGAGGTAGTGGGCGCAGTAGTCGCGCTGCTGCAGCGTCAGCTGTGCCTCGTTCATCTCCTGTTGCGTGGCCACCATCACTGAGGGGAGCGGCAGGGCTCAGCACAGGTGGACAGCCCGCCCCTGCCCCTACTCCAGGGACAGTCCCCACTGAGGACATGGTGGCATGCTGATGGAGAAGGATTACAGCCATCCCTTGAAGTGTCTTTTCCCAGTGTGTCCAAAGGTAACCCTGGCACTGAGGCCCGACAGGAGAGGGGTGGCCCGCTCACCCCCACCTCCTCATCAACAGCACCGGGGGTCCTGCCTCCCCTCCCCAGTGATGTCATAACCCTTCATACAGCCCCCGCTGCAGACTGGGGCTCAGAAAAGCTTCCCCCAGCGCTCCCCTGGCCCCTTCCCAGTATGGGGTAGGGCTGCAGGGCAGAATCCCAGCTCTGCACTGGCCATCAGTATGTCCACTGTCACCTTCCTCCTACACAAAGGATTTACAGCCTCCAGCATGGAAGTTCCCTGAGCCAATGACTAGCCATATCACTCAATGACAAGGACAGTTCTCAGAAATGCATCATTAGGTGATTTCATCACCGTGTGAACATCAGAATGTACTTATACAAACTAAGCAACAGGTGATGGAGCTTCACACTGTCACATATGGTCTGTGGTTGACTGAAGCTGCTTATAACAAACGGTACTTAGGCTCAGGCCTCAAGAAAGCTGGACTATCCTGTGGTCGTGGTATCCCACTCCCTTGGCAAAACTGACCTCGGGGGAAATCAACCTTCAGGAGGCTGACGGGGGCCAAGAGGAATTGTGGCTGTGTACCCTAGCCTGTGCTCACAGTGGCTGGTGACCCTGTGTCCCTGGCCTCCTTGCTGAGCACCCTGCCAAATCAGTGGGACCAAGCCTTCCTCTCCTCACCTCTGCCTGTCTTGGGCTCGGCTCCCTCCACCCACACCACAATGTGGCCACGTATCAAGTTCAGGCTGGCTTCTCCTTCTGCTTCCCAGCCACGATTCTCTCTCTCCCTTGGCTGGCTTCTACTCCATCATGCCAGGCGGCTCCCAGCTCAGCTGGCTTCCTCGGGATCTCCCTTTCTCTCTGTTCCTCTGCACCTTCCCTGGGCTTCTGCCCATTTCTATGCTGCCCCAAACCCAAACATTAACTGTTTGTTTCCTGAGAGCCATTCATGGATTAGAGTGGGTCCTTATCCATGGCTTCAACTGCCAACTTTTATGTTAAGGAACCCAATCTGGTCCTCCTACAGCACACATCTTCTAGCCCCAGGCCCAGCTATCCACTTATATCCCCCCGCCGAGACACCTACACTTGGGGCTTAGAGAGCAATCTGACTCCTCCTGTGTTTGGAAATTATAATCAGCCAGCAAGGCCTTATGGGGTACCTGCTGCATGCATGGTGTATTCATGGGTACACAGCAGGGGACATGACAGACAAGTCCCTGCCCTTGGAGGGAGTCAGAACAGACAGGTAGGACACGGTGTCACAGACTGTCTGGCAATGGTAAGGATGAAGGAGACAAAACAAGAGAGAGGGAGTGTTGGGTACACGGGAGCAGTGTTCAGAAAACAGGTGTAAAGGGCTTGTGAGAGGCCAGGTGGCAGGATGCCGTCAACATCAGCAGTGGGCTGTGAGTGGGAGTGTAGGCTAAAGCCCCTGGAGACAAAACTCGGGAGCCCTGGCATGCAGAAGACGCTTGAAGCCAGGACACTGGTGGAGACCCACACTTCCTCCCAGGCAGTGGTGGACAAGGCCTGAGCCTTGGGGCACCAAGGGGAGGCCAAGAGGAATTTAGCGTAGAAGCCCCCAGCGAGGTTGAGTCTTGGAGGCCAGGTGAGGAGGGTCTTTCAGTGGTGAAGGTTAGGTAAGAAGTGGGCACCGACGACAACGGGGCTTGGTGACAGAGTCCTCAGGAGGGCTTGACAGAGCCCTTTAAGTGAAGTGGCACGGGGAGAGGGGGAGGTGGGGCCAGGGGGTTGTACAACAATGGGGAACAATGAAGGGAAAACTAGTGTCAGAGAGGGAGGCTGGCTGAAGGAGAATCCTTGAGTCTGGGCAGATGGAATGGGGGCCATAAAGGGCTCATCTGTAGCAGGGGCTTAGGTGAGGAGGAGCCAGAGGGCAAATGGGGGCAGCGAGCCCAAGAGAGCCCCTTTTTGGTGGCTTGTTTTCTCAATAAGAGGAGGGAGGAAGAGACAGTGACGGTCTGGGGATGTGTCAGGAATGCCAGGCAACATCAAGGAGCCACTGGAGGAGCACCCAGGAGGCCGTCAGCAGCCCCCACCCAATCATGTTCTGCCGGCACAGGGGTAGATGCCAAGGAAAGGGGCCGTAGCCCCCCACCACGGTTTTGGTTTGGCCAGCAAGAGAAAGGCACAGGGGGCCCCGGTGTTTGGGAAGCAAGTGCACGGGGAATGCAGGCTCAGATGTGACTTTAGGACTACCTGGAGAGGGGACACTCTCCAACATTCTCTCAGACACAGACCTTTCTTTACCCCTATTACTTGGAGGTTCTCTGACCCCAAGTCGACGTCCACCCAGCAGTCACAGCAACCTCTAGACACAGCAATCTGTGTCCCTCCTCTGCTTAGTAGCATGGGCTCTGTCCTCTCCGTGACTCTCCCCCGGTCACCTACTACTCATTCCCTTCTCATCTTCCACCCACTGCCTCCTAAGCCTGCTCTGATACCCGCCAACTGTGCCCCCCACGATCTGCCTGGTCCCGCCGTCTTCCCTCCCGGGCTGGGAGGTCACTGAACACGGCGCCTGCATCTCTAGTCCCTGATGCATCTCCGCGGTGCCCAATTTGGGACTCGGTCCAGAGCTGGCCTCCACACGACTGTGATATTACTACGTATAAAAAGCAGTGCGCGCCGGGCGAGCTCCGCGGCCGACCTGCCCGCCCGCGCCGGGCCCTGCTCGCAGCCCCGGCACCGCAGAACCCAAACGAGAGCAGAGGGCCCCGTGCGCGCCGCGAGCCCGCCCTGCGTCGTCTGTGCAAACCTGAACAGGAGCGACACCTGCACGGGGGTACAAAGAACATGTCCCTTCCCTGACAAGCCTTCTCAAGGCTCCCCGCTGTCCCCAGGACAAAGGCCAGCTCTGGCAGCCTCTCTTCTGTCCCCGGGCCTTTGCTCGAGTCGGTCCCCTTCCTGGAATGCCCGACACTCAGCAGGGTCTCCGGCGCCTGGGACTTCCTCGCACGGAGGCCAGGTCCGCGCAGAGGATTCTGAGTTGCCTGGGTCCCGCGTCCGCGCCCCACTCCCGCCAGCCGCGCCTGCGCACTGGGCCTTACCGCGCTCCTTGCGCTCCGGGAAGCCGTACTGGGGCGGGAAGGTGGGCATCTGCAGAGGGTCGGGCTCCACCGAGGCATCGCCCAGGTAACGCCGGGCCAGGTGCGCCCCCATGTCTGCTCCGCCGCAGATTCCAGCCGGCCGGGGTCACCTCACTCCTACCCGGAAGCACTGCCTTCTTCCCCACCCAGGACTTCCGGGTCGCCCAGGCCGCAGCGGGGATCATAGAGAGGAACCCTCGGAGGACTTCCTGACTGGCGAGCGCCACCTGGCGGCCTGAAAGAGGCAGGACAGGGGCGGCTCCGGCTTGCTGGACATGGTCGGACCCTGGAGGGGCGGTAGAACCTGATTCTGGAGCATAAATGAAAATTGCATTTCATATTTTCCAGAAAGAAGCTTTTATTCTAAAACATTAGAATTTCTCTTTGGATCAAGAAGTAATAATACTGATTATATCATTAGTGAATATAAAAAATATGACTTTTGTTTTTTTGTGGTGCTGGAGTTGGAGCCTAGGGTCTTGCCCAGGCTGGGTACAGTTGTCTGCCACGGAGCTGCACCGCCGCCCTGAATGTCAAAATTTTATTTTATTTCATTTTATTTGGTACCAGGGATTGAATTCAGGGGCACTCGACCACTGTGTTTTATTTAGAGACAGGGTCTCACTGAGTTGCTTAGTGCTTCGCTGTTGCTGAGGCTGCTTGGAATTCGCCATCCTCCTGCCTCAGCCTCCGGGGCTGCTGGGATGACAGGCATATGCCATGGCGCCCGGGAGAATATAAAAAATTTAAATTAAGTTATTTAAAAGAAATTTGTTAATGAAATAAAGTCAAATTAAAATGAGCACAAGTCACCCTAGTGCGGGTTCCATTCCAGCACTGCAAAACCAAACCAAACATCCTCGAAAGCATGGAAAGATTTTATTTAACGAGGTATTGCGGGTTGAATCGTGTCCTCCAAAATACAGATGAAGTCCTAACCCCTTAGGAAGCAGCCCCTGAATGGTGACCTTATTTGGAAATAGGGTCTTTGCACGGTGTAATGAAGTTAAAATGAGGTCATACCAACGCGGCGGTCATCCTGGTCCAGCGGCGGGTCCTTAGCAGAGGAGGAAGGTTGGCGGTGACGCG